TTTATGTAATCTAATAAATAATAACAATTTTTGAAAAATCACAATAAATTTATTTTTATCTTTATATAGATGCTTAAATATCTTGTAAAAAGATAAAGTTCGTTTCTTTGAAGTTTTGCATTTTTTTTAGCTATTTTTATGAAATTTTTAATAATATAGAAGATGAAAATTTTTTTACTCAAATATGTAAATGTCTTCAAAACTAATAGAAAACTTGGGAATAGCCACTATTATTATTTTCATTTATTCTTTATCCAAATTATCGATTTGAAAAATTTGATATAAAATTACCTAAATTAAATTGGGTTGACTTTAATCAGTAAGAATCTGAAAATATTCTTTATAATCTTATCCTTTTAATAATGCAACTTGACAATAATAGAATAGCAATATTTTACAATATTTGAAATGGTGTTCAAGTAAAATAAAAGAATTAGATTTTATTGTAATACAAATTTTAATATATATATTAATGTAGCATCAGTTGAAAGATTGTAATTTATAATGGATTTTTTATATTCATTTAAATGAAATCAGTTACATGTAAATTTATATAATTTATTTTAAAAATAATCATATTATATTTACTAATTTATTAACTAATTTTTTTACTTTTAGTATAAAATAATAGCATAAATTCAAGAAGTAATAAATCAAGTACATTGTAATTATGATCTTAAAATTTTTAAAAAATGTATAATTCTACTTCAACAAAATCTTTGGATTCAGAATATAATAATAATGATAATAATAATTTAGAATCTGATAATAATTTAGATTTAAAAGAAATTGAAAATGAAACAAATACTAATAATCTAAAAACTGAGAAGCTATATTAAGTTTATGAGATCATATGTTAGAAGTAGAAAGTAAAGCTATTATAGAAGCTAAAAATGATAATATAAATTTAATTAATAATAGTTTTTATGATAAATTAACAACTTGTTTTCTATAAATCATATTCATTTTTAAAGAGATAATAATATAAAATAGATATTAGATAACTTGTTTATTGTAAATCTGAAGTCTTCTAATTATATTGATTAGCTTTAAACTATTATTTACATTTACTAAGAATTAAATAATAAATATATATTAAATGTTAAATAAATATACAGTATTTATGTAAATTTTTAAATAAATTGAAAAATAAAATTGAACTGATCTAATTGTATATATTCTAATCTATCTAATTAAAAACTAGACTAATCTACTGCCCAATGAAAAATGAACAATTTGCAAAAAAATTGAAACTAAAATGGAAATATATCTAACTGTTCAATTCAGTTTGTTTTAGTTTTTAAAACTAGACATAGTCTAATGCCTAACACTGACCTCAAGTAATACTTTATACTATATAAGTATATTAAAAAAGATTAATGTAAACTATTTAATAAAACTACTTATCAAACATACCTAGAGCTCTGCATAAGCTGAACCACTTGCAAGCCAAATGAATCAGCTCGTTTATACTCAGCTCAAGCCACTATAAAATGAGTTATGAACTAGACAAGCTGGCTTATGCTGTGGCTTGACTCATACTGCAGCTCAGCTCATTGGCTTATATTTTCTTCTTTGAAAAAAATAATTTTAAAGGTGATTTTTCTTTGAAGAAAATGGTTCTAGTGATATTTTCTTTTAAGAAAAATGGCACAATAACATTTTTTTAAGAAAAATAGCCTTGGTGATATTTTCTTTTAAGAAAAATAGCCCAGTGATATTTCTTTTAAAGAAAAATACATCCAGTGGTATTTTCTTAAAGAAAATTGTTGAAGTTCTTTAAGAAAATCATTCTGAAAATGAAGTCCTTTAAGGAAATTATTCTAGAAGTAAAGTCCTTTAAGGAAATCATTTCGAAAGTGAAGTCTTTTAAGAAAATCATTTTAGAATTGAAGTACTTTAAAAAAATTATTCTGAAAATGAAGTTCTTTAAGAAAATCATTTTGAAAGTGAAGTTTTTTAAGAAAATCATTTTGGAAATGAAGTACTTTAAGAAAATTATTCTGAAAATGAAGTCCTTTAAGGAAATCATTCTGAAAATAAAATCCTTTAAGAAAATCACTCTGAAAGTAAAGTTCTTTAAGAAAATCACTCTGAAAATAAAGTTCTTTAAGAAAATCGCTCTGAAAGTAAAGTCCTTTAAGGAAATTGTTCTAGAAGCAAAGTCCTTTAAGAAAATCGCTTCAGAAGTGAAATCCTTTAAGGAAATCACTCCAGAAGTAAATCTTTCAAGGAAATCATTCTGAAAGTGAAGTCCTTTAAGGAAATCACCCCAGAAGCAAAATTCTTCAAGAAAATTATCTTAGAAATGAAATCCTTCAAGAAAATCATTCTAGAAATAAAAACCTTTATAGGATTCACTCTGAAAATAATTCTTTCAAAGAGAATCATTCCAGAAACGTTCTTTTTAAAGGAAATCATTCTGAAACTTTTCTCTTAATAGAAATCATTTTAAAAATGTTTTTCTCAAAAGAAATCATTCTAGAACTTTTCTCTTGATGAGAATCATTTTGAAATCTTTCCTTTCAAAGGAAATTATTCTGAAACTTTTCTTTTGATGAGAATTATTCTAGAAATGTTCTTCTCAAAGAGAATCATTCTGAAAATATTCCTTTCGAAGAGAATTATTCTGAAACATTCCTCTTGATAAGAATTATTCTTAAAATGTTCCTCTTGAAGAAAATCATTCTAGAAACGTTTCTCTCAAAAGAAATCATTTCAGAACATTTCTCTCAAAAAAAATCATTATAGAAACATTTCTTTTAATGAGAAACATTTCTATCGACAGTTTTTCATTTTTAAATATAAATGCAAGCCAAACAAGCCAGCTTGCAAGCCGTATTGGCTTGGCTTGGCTTGTCAATTAATCTCCATAAGCTGAGCTGAGCTAAGCTAAAAAAAAGTGGCTCAACTCGAACCAGTGATAACCTAAGCCAAGCCAGCTTATGCAGAGCTTTAGACATACCGCTAAGCTAAAAGAAATGTTTTCTATTATATAAATAAAATATATAAAATTAGTAAAGAAATAAAAAAAAAATGTAATATGTAAGATAAATATAATAAAATAAATAGATAATATAAATTAAATAAAATAAATAAATAAAATATATTGTATAAAAGAAATATATATCATAGATAACATAAAAGATGTATAAGACATATATGATATATATGACTTTCTAGTGATTGATATCATCCTTTTGATCATCATCATTTATATTTTCCTTCGTGTTATAATATAATTAATTTATAAAATTTAAAGTAAACTTTGTTATGATTATAATTTAAAAAAAAAAATAAAAATTTGCATAAAAAATAGTATTAATTATTTTATAAATAATTGTTTTATGTAATTTTAAAAATACAATAAAATTTAAAAAAAAAAAATTTTTAAATTTATTTAAAAGTAATAATTTTTAAATATTTTTATTTGATACTTTTTTTATATACAGTGCATACAACTTAGTCCCAACATATAAATTTGACAAAATTTAAATTATTATTCTTCACTTAAAAAAAATGATAAATAAAAAATACAATTGTAGAATGATAGAGCAATTCAAGCTCAATAAAACTACGATTTTAAATTTCCGGTAAAGTGGTTTTTAAAAAAGCAGTAGCAATTCAAAGTTGGGACATTTTACTATTAAATCAGATATTTTGGTCACCTTACACATGATATACGTGATCAATATTCCTATCGTTGATTGGCTAGATCATATTGATCATGTTTTATAGTGTAACTCAAATTAAGAATAAAATAATATTGTCTCAAGTTTATAAATTTTTCTTTTTAAATTCAAAATATGAGCCTTTAATATTTAAATAATATATTCCTCTTCTTTATTATTGAAAAAAAGTAAAAATAGATATCTTAACAAAGATAAGTATTCTAATTTTCAAGTGTTTTACTCTAATTACTATTACTTTATTACACAATCACTAATTTTTCTTCTTTTCTTTTGTTCATAGCCCATAACCCATAGCTAGTATGAGTAAATATATATTAAACAAAACTGATTTATTTTAAGTATTGACTAATTGTAAAACTAAATCAGGAACCCGATGATGTGAATGGTATTTTTTGACTGCAAATTCTGCTGCCCGACCCGTCAAGCCTTTTTGGTATACATCTATATAATGAAATGCTTTTCTTGCATATTGACGAATAGTTGTAAGTGAAACAGAAGCAAGAGCTAATAGAACAGTTTTTTGTAACCCTGTCCATAAGTAATCACAATGTGATTGACTAAATTTCTTGGCTGCATTCCAAAAGTTCTCAATGTAATTGAGCTCACAATGAAACTTGGGATAGAATATAATTTGATGTTCAGCTGCAATAATAATTTCTTCTAGTTGTCCTTTTTGTGCTAAAAAGTCTGATTGTTAACTCATTACTTTTCTTGCTTCTTCCAATTTTAATCCTTCATTCGGCCATAATTCTCTTTACATCAGAACTTGCTTTAATCCTTTTGGCTGTCTACGCAATTCAGTAATATGATAATTTAACGGAAAAATCATGTCCTATCGAATTCCTTTACCAAAATACGTACTATGCATTTTTCGTTGCTTTCTATCAGGACTAAGATTCATATAATTGGCAATAAGTGCATCTGGAGAAAAAGCAGCATGACTTGATGCATTGTCAAATGCAAACAAAGCCTGGCATCCTGGAAAACGTGCTTTGAATATAGGTATAGCACATTTAACTACCTGATTTATTAGATCCTTAGCCTTCTACTATCCATCATTATTTTTTCCTGGGTACATAATGATACAAGCTTCTCTAGGGAGATCATCTGACGTTTGCATTTCATCAGGAAGTGTAAGGCAGCTACAAACATCGGTTAAGAATTCACTCATATGAATGGAGCGTTTATTACCTTTTTTTCTTAAAGGTTGTTCTCCATTTAGAATCTAAAGGCTTCGACTTCCATCATAAGCTGAAAAATACATTCATTATGTGTGACAAGAATAAGTAGTTACATATTATTACCTGGCTATATTACTTCCTCCAAATTATCTTCAGAAAAAATTGGCATCCTATTCTCAAGTTTATCCATTTGTTTTAAGAAAATTTTACGATAAGCTATCACATCTTCCCTTTTATGTCTATCTATGTATGTTCCCTTTTTCACCTTAACATATGTATATCCAAATTCTTTCAAATAGTTTCTTGCAGTGTTAAGATGAATAGTTAGAGATGGTGCAAATCTAAGTCCTAGCAAAATAATTTTATTCATCTGTGCCATTAGTATTTGTGAAGTAATATCCCACTTATGTTCCCGAATATAAGCTTTTACTTGAAAAATAATATCCTCATCCCAAAGAAAGCTCCATATTTTGGTATGATATTCTCGACGAGAATAAGGAATTTTATGGATCATTATATAATCATTTGCCTAAGAACGAATGCATCTAGCATGATATACCCCTTTTTCTGCTGCATTAGCAACAATCTCACTTGCGTCTATTTTTAAATAATTAGATTTTATAAGTTGAAGGTAAAGTTGAATACTATTTAAACGTATCTAAATCTCACTATTAACCTTTTCTTTTTTGAGATCTAATATTAGATTTTTGAGAGCAACCTGAATTTTATTATGCTAATCGTAATCTTTAATTTTGTCATCTAATTCTTCTACATTAGTCTCTTCAGTCGGCTCCTCATCAATTTTTTCAGAAGGTTTCTTGGTATTCTAAAAGGTGTGTAAAGTAAGAGTCCCTTTTGCTGCTTCACACTACTGTTGATTCTTTCTTCTTTTAGTACGACTTGAGTTTCTTATATAACGTAACCTACGTACTTCTTGAGAAGCATGTTCCTGGTAATATTTTCTTGTTACTTCATGAAGTTTTTCTATAATGCTTGCAGCATTATCATTTTCCACTGGTTCATCATCAATAGAGTTATAATAGGAAGAACCATTGTCAACTTCAAAGTAATCTTCCAGATCATCGTCATATCCTTCAGAATCACCATGAACAGAACCATCATGGGCAGATACATCAACATTACTAACTTTTATATTATTTATTTTGTAGGCTCTTTTTAATTATTTTTGACGTCTTGTCGGATGCAATATATTGGTAAGTATTAAGTTTTATTGTTGAATAATGATTCTTTTTATGTATAAGAAAAGCTAAACGAGCTGGTAAACTTGCTGCTGATGCAGTTCTTGACCTTGAGGTTTATAGTAAAATCTAAAAAATTTTTCAATTATAAAACACAAAGCAATGTGAAAAAAAATTATCGTAAGTTAGTTAATCACAATCAGGCTATTTTTCCATTGTGATATTGATTAGCTAATAATGTAATAAGTGGAAGAGAATCACAAGAGAAATGTACTGTATTATATCATAATAAAAATATATCACAATAGAAATGTATCACAATAGGAATGTATTAAATAATAAATTTATTTTGTCTTGTTTCTATACATATATTAAACT